GCGCGCCTGCCTGCCTCAGCTCGGCGCTGATGGATAGAGCGATTCGCCTTCGGTCGCTGTCGGGACTGACGATAATTAGAGAAGTTGCAAAAAAACAAATGAGGCTTTCTTCACTGGGAACAGGATAGCAGTACTGGTGACGGGAGTGCTTTGATCCTTTGCATCACAGCTAAGAGCATTTTGAAACACCAAGTTGCGTCTGAATTTGAACACGCTGGGTATTTATTATCGTAATGATAAAAATGGTATTTTGACACATGTATAATTGGCAAGATGCTCATGAGTTAAAACCAGAACTGCTCTTTCATTAAGATATCCCTGGCTTCAATTTTAGCCCAGTTTCTGATTCTGGAAGCACTGTTCCCTAAGGGTTTAGGTCTTTGGGCTCTGGGCTGTAAGCCCATGGTAACGCAGGTGCTATTGAAACGCTGTTGAAAACCCTTCTCCATAGCTCCCTCCCAAAACAGCTGTGCTGCAGCCTGTCCTGCCCGTGCTCCTCTGCGACTGATAGTCTGGCCATGTCCTTCGATGGTCTGGCCAGAAATGCAAGCTATGTCCTGCTCACCACATTTGCAAGGCTGATTCTCATTCTCTAACACAGCATTACCCTTCCAGGCACCTCGGACGTGTTCAGGTGCAAATGTCACTCATCTGGTTGAAGAGCAGCATCAGATTCAAGCCTTGCAGATTGGTTTTGCGATGAAAGAGAGTCAGCAAATGCAGATTTGGGTCTAGTCTAGGGGTGACTGGGCTTTATGCACACAGCAGTCCCACGAGAATCACAGAATCACAGAATGGCAAGGGTTGGAAGGGACCTCGGGAGATCATCTAGTCCAACCCCCCTGCTAAAGCAGGCTCTCCTAGAGCATGCTACACAGGACTTCATCCAGGCGGGCCTTGAATATCTCCAGAGAAGGAGACTCCACAACCTCCCTGGGCAGCCTGTTCCAGTGCTCTGTCACCCTTAGAGTAAAGAAGTTTTTCCTCATATTCAACTGAAACCTCTTATGTTTCAGTTTGCACCCATTGCCCCTAGTCCTGTCGCTGGACACCACTGCAAACAGACTGCCTCCATCCTCATGACTTCCGCCCTCAAGATATTTGTATGTGTTGATAAGGTCCCCTCTCAGTCTTCTCTTCTTCAGGCTGAACAAGCCCAACTCTCTCAGCCTTTCCTCGTAGGGGAGGTGCTCCAGTCAAATCCTCCTATCCGTAGTATAACCTGAGTGCACTAAGCCGTTCCCAGAAGCACCTAAAAAAATTGATTCTAGCTGGAAGCAAACCCTCGCAGTGCTCTCGCTGCAGCTCCTGCCTCGCAGCAACCGCTGCCCAAATAGTTTCTGTAAATCCAAGCAAACACCACTCTGCCGTCCTTTTCTGAGAGTGAAAGCTAGCTCGCGTGTCGAGCAAAACCCAAGAATATTGTGTGCGGTTGGCAGGAGGCACTTAATCATCTCCTATCGTGCTGCTTCGTTAAGCTACTAACAGCAGTGTGAAATTCTCCCTGCGTGTTGTCTTAATCCTTGAAATTAGGTTTGCGTTTGAGAAGAAAATGTAGATGGCATTAGCACGGAACCAGGCTGATCTGCAGCTATGGACTTTGTTTAATGAAAGGGGAGGAGACCTAAATCCACGCACTGTGTTTGCTTCTGCAGGTATGTCAATGCGAAGTGGTACTTTGAGGATGTCGCAAATGCCATGGAAGCGGCTAAGGAAGAGATTTTCATCACAGATTGGTGGTTCGTACTTAAATATTTGGATGTTGACCAGCCGTCTCTCTTGGGACGTTCCCGACAATGCGGCGCTGTTCGGAGGCCCTACAGTATGGCAACTAGCCGCGCGGCCAGATGGTTTGGCAGCACACCCAAACATCTCCCTGTGTTGTATTCAAAGGCCTTTTCAGGAGGGTTGGCAGCAAAAGCGCATGCTTGAAATCAACAGCTTGGTTGTCTCCTTCCAAGGAAAGGCCTGACACTGCATGAAGGCACCACCTGAATTGCGAGTGTTATGGCTTGAGGTGCTTACTGGGAGCATAGATCTCTGCAAACCCAAGGGACAAGAACGTTTTTCAGTGTGTGAGGGAACGTGGACACTCAAACACCTCTGCCGGTGTTCTTCCCATGAGATCCTGCCGGGCACCCTCCTTTCAGCTCCTCCTCGCTGTTTTGGGAAGCCCCGTGCCAGTGATGAGAGCATCTTGTGGGGAGGGGGGGCATGTAATTTGTAATTTTGCTCTGCTCTTCAATGGGCCAGACAACGGAGGGGGGGGTTTGTCGTCCCTTTCCTGAGCTGCGTGGCTGCCGAAGGACCTGGCTCTGCCCACTTCTTAACGAGTGATTAATTCTGTTTATGTAGTGCTCTGGGTCCCGTTTGAGGGAGGAGAAGGGTGCTCTCACAGACTCGGGGCAGAGTTTCCCAGCGCGATGCCGGTTGCAGCTGCCTGCGTCTTGCCTTTGCAGAGGTTAATCTGGCTGAGCCAGGCTGGACCCTGGGGGCAGGACAGCAGGGCAGGCTCCCAAGCCACAGCTCAGAGGTCTTCTTTAACCATGGGCACGGCTCTGTGCTCCTCTTTTTCCATCTGTAAAATGAACCTCTTGCTACTAATCCACTGCCCGTAGGAACCGACAGTATTAATTCTTAGGTGGCAATTACGAGAAAACTAAATACGATGTTAGCACTTACTGGGCTAAGCCCATTTCCTAACATGACCACGAATAAACCCAATGCTCCTGGATCCCCACATGCAACATCAGGTAGCAAAGCAAAAGCATCGCATTTCAGACCTGTTGTCTCTTTTGTTTTATTCAGGAATGTTTTATTCAAGAATTTGTTCAATTCTTAGCATATCTTGGAATTGCAAAACTTACCTTAAACTCCAAGTTTCAGATAAAAACGCTGTTGTCAGAAGCGTGCTTTTAGGATGTAGCAATGTGCTTTAATTGCGCACAAGTTCCCACGCTCAATAAAAAAGTAAAGGAATTAAATTCTGTCACCTCCCTCTGCAGGAGTTAGATGAGATTGCTTAATTATTCCTTGTAATCCTTAAATCTAGGAATCGATACAATGTCCTGTTGAGAGATCATATTGCTCTGCCTTTGGGCAGCAAGGAAAATTCAGCATAAATCTATGCTACTCAGCCTAAGTACCAGGAGAACCGCAATCCTACTCTTATTTATTTTTTATGTCTAAACATTTCTTTCAAATCTACCTTGGGACTTTCTTTTGTTGCATCTTGCCTTCATAGGTAGAGTCCAAGTTTTCCCATTTTATACAACACTGTTAAACTTGGTCTCGTGGGTTGGTGAATACCAAAATGCATGAGCTGGATGCATCCCCTGCCCTCCGTAATGCTCCATTATTAAAAACAAAGAGCATGACGTTGGAGAATGCATCGCTCCGGGATGTGCGCCTTTGCATCCACTTCGTAGAAACTTTTTTATTTCTTTGCTTACCAAGTTGATTATTTAGGCCAACGCTTTGTTTGCAGACCACATATGCTGTGCTTTTTCCACACCTTTATTTTTTTTCTTTCAGGCTGAGCCCAGAAATCTTCATGAAACGACCCGTTGTGGAAGGAAATCGCTGGCGACTGGACTGCATCCTCAAGAGGAAAGCGGTAAGTGAGCTCCAGCTGCAACCTTCACCCTGCGGAAAACCCCTTGGTGCCCACCCAGTTACAGGGTCATACTGGGACTGGAGCGTTTGCACTGTTTATTTTGGGTAGGGATGGGAGTTAAAGCTGGCCAAGCCTCACTTCAGGTGGCCTCAGAAAATGACATGTTTTGATTTGCTCCCCCCTGTTTGGGTTTGGAAGAGCTCGGAGGCAGAAGGGTGGACCCTCTGATTGCCCCTTGGAGTCTTCAGGTTTGGGTCACTTCAGCCTTGCATTACGACTGCCCCAGCTCCTTCTGGGGCCAAAGAGCAATGGCTGTCCAGTGCCCTCTTTGTGGCATGTGTAATTTAGAGGTATAGGAAGGACGAAGCGCTTGGCGGCGGCTCTTGGTGGGTGGTCTGGGTGGTGCTGATCCCGTCGGTCGTTACCGCGTGTTGTACCTCTGTGCTGCAGCTTTCAAGAGTTGAAGCTGTGGAAGGTACCGTCCGTCTGCCAAGAAAATCAGGGTGTCATTAGCAAAAAGTCACTCAGTGTCATCCAGCGGTTCGGGCTAACTGGCTATAGCCTTCCCATCCGGTTTTCCAGGCTTGATACCTTGTGTAGGTCCTTGCTACAGCTCAACACCAAAGGTCTGATGTTCTTGCTGTTCACCCATCGTTCCTCTCTAGAGTAAAGAAGCGCCTGTTGACATTAAACATCATCCCCAGCCCCGTTCCCCCTGGTGGAGCCCCTCTTGCTTTCGTCCTGCCCAGCCCAAGCTGCCCAAAGCTCTTCTTGCTGTAGCTCTTTCGCAGCTGCTGCTCTTGGTAATAATGAATTTTACTGGAGCGTAAGAAAGGCCAAAGCCCGAAAGGTTTTTGTGTTTTATTGTTATTATTTTTATTTCCCAGGGTAACTTACATGATTAGAAAAGGCTTTATTTTTTTGGAGCTGCCTCTTGCTACCTGTCTGCCTCCTGGTTTTCTTTGGTCCTACCCACCCCGTTCTATATCCTCGTGGCTCTGGTGGCTACTAAGAGGAGGAAGATCAGCGGTGCCCCCCCTGCCTGGCCCTTCTCAGGTGGAGGCTCTCTAGCCATGAGAGTGCTGCTGCGTTGCTGTGGAAAAGGAATGTGGGGAAAGGGTTTCAGCAAAGCAGGAAAAAATGTGCAGACACGAGCAACATCACCCTCCCCCCGAGCTGGGCCATGGTGTTCAACTTGTTTACAAGGAGGTGACAAACCTGACTCCAAGACTTGGACTCCTGTTTGCATTGCAATCTTATCTGAGTTAATAAATCCTCCTGTTCAGTAAGCAAATGCTTGTGTAAACTTGATAAGGATCTTTTCCCTCTGCTTTAATTTCTCTTTCTCTGCTGTTCCTCCTGAAGAGAAGAGCTCAGACCTGCTGTTGACTTGGTGCCTTTCCTGGCACTCCCGGTCCGGATTCCCACGCTCCGTTTATACACGTTCTCTGTGCACTCTTCTTTCTTGTGCAGCTCTTGGAGATCCGAGCAAGCAACCACCACTGCTAGTTCTGTTTGTTCTTTTCTCTAAGTGTTTGCATCTCGGAAAACAGCATATTTTGTTGCTGGTTGTACTCTGCTTTCCAAGAACACATCTGGATCCAGACTAGAGAGAATACATTTTGGGGAGCCGAGAGAGGCAGACAGGGAAGCTGAGGTGGTTTTGAATGTGGGCTGTACTTCAGTCATTCACCCAACCCACGATAACACCGGTGCTAGAGGTGGTAGTTTGCCCCCCAGGTGAGTCAGGAAGGCACACGTGGCCAGGGAAGTCTCTTGATGTGGTAGAAGGGCAGGAGTCCAGGTGGGTGTGCTGAAGTGGTCTTTGACTCCCTCCTCTTCCAAGTTGTTGTCACAGTCCTCACCTGAACGCATGCCTAGAAAAAAAATAAGAGGTTTTTGTGTCTGATTGTTGTTGATTTGGAAGTAATCTTATTTTCTGGCAAATGAAACGTGGCCACAGGGCATGCTCAGTGGAAGAACTTGGCTCTGCTTGTCATGTTGACATGGATTTTCCTAAGGCTCTAAATGCCTTGTAAGAGTGAGGAGTGTTTTAAGGTTAGTCCTGGAAATACTTGCCTGCTCTCTCACTTGCGGCATTTCTTTGATTCGGCAGGGCGGTCAGCAAGCTAGTGTCTAGGTGTAGGGGTAGGGCTGTCCTTCATGTATGCACAGTGCCGCCTCGGACTTCTCTGGGAGCAGAATATCATCCACAATTTGGAGACTGCTCAAGCTATCTATAGCAGCTTCATAGAAATAGAAGCTTTAAAGGCTGTGGAAAATTTAGGTCCCAAGTTCAAGCTCTTCTGCAAGATTTGATGTTGTGCTGATCTACAGCAACAGTTCCAGTCTGTGGCCAGCATCTGCTGAGGTTTGGGAAAATGATCCAAGGGCTGGAGCCCCTCTGCTGTGAGGCCAGGCTGGGAGAGTTGGGGGTGTTCAGCCTGGAGAAGAGAAGGCTGCGGGCAGAGCTGAGTGCGGCCGGTCAGGGCTTAAAGCGGGCCCAGAGGAAAGGGGGGGACAAGCTTTTTAGTAGGGCCAGCTGGGACAGGACAAGGGGGGATGGCTTTAAACTAAACCAGGGTAGGTTTAGACTGGATCTAAGGAAGAAATTCTT